GAACGATATGGCTGAGTGTCGCAAACAGTGGGGCTAGTGGATCTACTACTCATCATTCTCGTAAACCCAGTCCATATGCATTCTCAATCTTCACTTTGACTCTGCTCTTAACGTGCCAATCTTCCTTCTGCTGTTTTGTCCAAATCGGCGGCCAAAAGATAGCAACCGAAATCGGCGCATGAAAATCCATGGTTAATGATTGTCAAAACTGAAACTGAAACACAGGTAGTACAAATCCAAAACACCCGAGGCGGAGTAAAACCGTAAGTGGATGATAGAAAATGAGGACAATCAATCCTGGCGAGCCACTGCAAACGGAAAGCCAAACTCAAAGAATGGCAATCTTGACTGAAAAAGTAGCACATTCTGACTAGGAGTAGTTTACCTGATCGATTGATGGATTTCAAATCACAGATATCTCTCGAAACAAATGGAATATACAGAGAGAGAGAGAGATTGGTGAAGTAAAGAGCACCATGAGAGCAGACAAAACTGATACGGCTAGTAATCACTAATCGATCATTCATCTACTAATTAAAATCAGTTACAAATCAGTCGGATCATATGTGGCCAATGCTTACCCATCAAACACACCGAGATGACTTAACACACTGGCTATGGTTGAATCGTGCGCGAAGTATGCGACTAGGCCCAGTGTGGCGGACACATTCATAAGCATTTCACGACCGTGAGGTGCGAGCAATTCCACGTGGACCGCATCCCGTCCGGTCGCGATCAGCTGGGCATTCGCACGGGCACGTAACAGGCGCAGGACATGCGCGATCAGTGGACCACCATGCAGTCTGGTCAGGGAGGGTTGGGAGAATCGGATGTAATGTTTCCAATCCAACAGATGCACACAATCCTCGTACAGTTGCGGAGTGAGCCATGACGGTCGATGAGGAAGATTGTGATCCACCCAGATGGTCAATACGTCACAAGCTTTCCATGAGCCTAATAACAGTCTGGATGGAGGATTACCTTCCGGAAACATATGAGCTGCGCGAGTGGTGTGTGTGTGTGTGTTAGGGTCGGAGAGATGTAGAAAGAACAGAACAATAAATAGGCTATATGCGTGGAGAAACAACAGAGGGGAGGGATTAAGTATTGAAAACATTATTTTACAAGATTACCAAACAACACTATCCAAGTAACAAGCACAAACTACAAGAGCCACAGATCCACACGTTTTCCCCATCAAGCTTTAGCCAAAACACGTAATCCTTTAGCCTTGACAAAAACTTTAGTCACACCGCAGTAGGCGAGTCAGATCAAAATGTATCGGAATATATTCTAAAATCAACGGTGTTGAAAGAATTGATTTCTAAAAATATTGTGGTAGTGGTCACCGGTTCGATTGGGCATTGAGGTGTATTGGGCACCTTGGATTCCTCAAAAAAATTCACCTGCCTTGGCCTGGGCAACCTGGCAGTACTCAGCCCACAAGCCAATCATGGAACATTTTCCGTTTGATAAAGATTATTGTACCATGATTTGTTTGGCACACAGTGTGTCTTCAGACAAGTGTGAAATATATATATATATATATATATATATATATATAAGAAATAAGGTGTGGGAGTTACATGCTGCAACACATGTTGATTGGAGACGGTTTAGCCGATGTACCCGTATCGTAAAACTGCCGTGTTTCTGTATAACATGCGATACTCCTGTGTGAATAAAAATCTCAAGTGTAAATCAAACGATAAATTGTTTTGCATTTGCAAGTCCTGATATAAACCTTAAGATATATGCGTACCGTTCTTGAAATATGTTTACGCTTACAGACCATCAAGAATGCCTGGTGCATCAGAACAGGCAACTGAGCTGATCCAAGCTTGATACTCTAAAACGTATACGCTCGCCTTACCGTACCTCCACTTAAAGCGAACACTGTTCACCAAAAGACTCCCTTTAGAACATCGTTTCCCAAAAAAGCTATAGACAAAACCCGTAATAATTAAACCTCGACCGTGGTAAATATGACATATGTTGCAGTGTTAATAAACTAATGATAGTGGTGAGGATGTACTTTTACGAGCGGTTTATTATCCTCAGTTTGTTTATCTATCCTCTTTGATGAACAGAGTTCACTTGTGAGCACAAAAACAATGTATCGTTTGAGATACACTTGAGGTTTTCATTCCTAGAAGTATTGCACGATTTGACAATACGGGCACGTCGATTAAACCGTCTCCGGTCAACATGTGTTGCAGAATGTGACTCTCACACTTTCTGATTTCTTAACAAAGTTTTACAACATCAATATTTGCAGGAAATATTTTTTTTTCGACACCGTTGATTTCAGAATATATTCCGATACTTTTTGATCTGACTCGCCTACTGAGGCGTGACTAAAGTTTGTTTGTTGAGGCTAAAGGACTCCGGGTCATGGCTAAAGCATTTCGGGTTTTGGCTAGAGCTTGGTGGGAAAAGGTATAGAAACATCCGGATCTGACTGTGATTTTAAATCCCAACGCTTAATACCACAGTGAGAACCGGGATTGAAGAAAGTCTCAAATTGTTAGTAAAAACTGATTTAGGCTTGAAGTATCATGAAAGATATTACACAATTAGACAGGTATTATTGTATCCCTGGTCCGATGAGTGTTACTAGGTGCATCTCCAGGAATAATAATGATTATAATAATAGGGGAGCAATAGTTCCCGAATAAGTGGCGTTGTTCGGCGATGTTCTCTCCTGACAGAGATCCCTGCATAAAAATATTCCGTAGATTTCCAGGTGACCTTCTCCAATATAGCTCACTATTAAATGAGGCAATTACCTTATTACAAAAGCCGAAATTAAAGGAGAGGTTTTCCGGAAACTTGTAAAACACGGCGCACAGAACGATATCAATCTCCGAACAGAAATTCAAGTACCCCAAGTAACCACTCACGTGGCCG